AGCTGCCAGGGCAGCCTGGTAACTGGAGTTTCGGGGTCTGCATTCCCAGCAGAAAAGGATGTTAAGGTCCCAGGATTGCTTTGGTTTTTGGTGAGCACAGGTTCGGTATCTCTAATCAGAACATCTAATGTCAGAAAGACTCTGAAAGGGAAACTTTAAAGTCTTGAGTTCAGAATTAGTTCACATTTTGGATGTTTTAATGTTTGGCAAGTAAAATCTATACAAATATTCCCAAGTTTAAATGTCTCGAGGTGCCAGAAGGTGCGAAGGCACACACCAGTATTCCCAGCACACAGAGACAGAGGCAGGCTGATCTCTGTGAGTTTGAGGCTAGCTTGGTCTACAAAGTGAGTCCAGGACAGCAAAGGCTACACAGAGAAAATCTGTCTTGAGAAAAAGACAAAACAAAACAAACCCTCTTCACTGAGGACCAAAAACAAAACAAAACAAAAACAAACAAAAACAAAACAACTGGTCCTAAGCATTTTAACAAAAGAAGATCTCCTGAAGAATGGATGAGAAGGAATCAAGAAAGACCCCTGCCATGGCCCTTCTCAGAGGAAATGGAGACATTTGAATCACAGATCTCTCTTTCATTGTTTGAAACAATGCTATTGGATCTCACCTTGATGAATGTGCTCATATCAGCTTTCACCAAGATGTGGTTTGATATTTGCTGATCTGGGTTCAGCCATCTCACCAGCTCTTTCATTATAGCTAGCCAATTTGCTAAAGGTGAGTTTCGTAGCAGAAAGGGTGAGTTTATTAGTCAGAAAGAAGAAAAGTCAAGCTCCTTCCTTTCACCAAGGGCTTTTCTCCACTTATTAAGGGAGCTGTCAGTGGGCAGCCAGGTGAAGTGAAAATAATTGGTACCCACACCAACCAATGTTGCTACTTTTTAGACACTCTAATAAATGAGGACAGTCTGAAAAGGGGGGAACTTCTGGGGAGGAAGGATTAACATCAGATTTTATTGCTTCCTGCTGGATTAGCTCTCATCATGGAAAATTCCAAATTCTTCATAAGAGACTACAATGGATTCCATTTGCTATTATAGCCTCAATTCCTCCTTTCTCTTCATCCTAATTAAGCAGTTTGAAACATGGGTCACAAAAACGACAACTGAAAGTCCAACAGATCAACAGTGTCATGCATGTAGGTACTTCATATACAGCCTGTCTCAAACAAACCGTCTTTTAGGAAAAGAGACTTGAGATTAAAAAAAAAAAGAAAAAAAAGGAGGGGGGAGGTTGGAATAAATTAAATGTAAGCTCCAAACTAGAGTTCAAGGGCAGCCCTCATGCCACCTTTATTCCAATATAGACTAGTAAGGAGCATACCAGCAAGGATGCCTATCTTACAAAAACAGATATTTTAAATATTTTAAAAATTGAATGTCATGTGACTATAGTAATACCAACAAAAATTCAGTTCATGGTACACTATCAATCACATCATCGAGGACTGCAAAACATGTATTTGTTGGGAAAACATGAACTCTAGGCCGCCGAGGCTAGATAATGCCTTTGTGTCTTCAGACAATGAATCACCATGATGCAAAGGTGTCTGGAAAGGTCATTTTTACTACGTTAGTATTTGTACACAAACACACACCTTTTCCATCATATTCAACAAATGTAAGTTGGTTACCGTTAGTCATTTTTTTTCTTTTCTTTTTCTTTCTTTTTTTTAACACAGCGGTTAAACACTGTGACTAAATACTTGAAAGGGGAAATTTTTTAAGTAAAGATCTACTTAGGCTCACCATTTCAAAGGTTTCAGTTTATGGCTGGCTGGCTCTAGTGTTTGTGGGCTGTGTGAGACAGAATGCCAGAGCAGAAACAGGAGACCAGGTCTCATAGAGACCAGAAAACGGAGAAGAATGCCTGAACATTAAGTAAGGTCTTACATCTCCCTTTATTCCCTTTAGGATCTCTATCTATTTGCTGGTTTCATTCAGATTCATGAGGCTTTCTTCCTGCTTAATCTCTTAGGAAATAGTCTCAAAAACAGGTTTGCTCTGCTAATCTAGGTGTGAACCGTCCAGTTCAGTTGACAGATATGATTAACCATTGCACTTACCAACACATTTTAAAGGTAAAAAGGAAGTTGGTCTTTATAAAGAAAAAAAAAAACTTTTCAGGCTACAAATTTAGTTCTGAATGTCAAACATTTTTCCATTAAAAATGAAGGAATCTTTCTCCTTACCTCCCTCTCATTCCCTTTTCCTTCCTTCTCTTCCTCTATACATAGAGGACAGACACCCTCTGTCTCTATGTGGCGATAAAGACTGTAAGCTAAGTCTTCCTGATTCCAATAGAAAACAACAAGAAAAACATGCAGAAACATAGTATGCTTTGATGTTAAAAACATTTTCAAAACGGACCTTTCCAAGACTCCTTGAGAAATTGCATTTGCCCTGTGTGGTCTGCCTGCTTCACTGTTATAAAGTAGGACTGGTTCTTTACATTTTCCAGCTTTTTGACGTTTACCCAGATTTTTCAATCTTTTCTTATTCTCAAGAGAGCCCATGTACAAGACTTCAAGGGCGGGAAAGAAATAGGGCAGTGATTGGTAAGTCACCGTGGGGTGCCACCTGAGTTCAGGAGTTGACACGAAGAAGGTGCTATCCTGGGAGACGCTAGGCGTTTTATTCAGTGGATCCATATCTAACATATCTGTTAGATTCCCCTTTCCATTTTTATTAACTCAAGTTCACTGCAGTAGTAATTTGAAAGTGTCTCCCCCCGCCCACTCCCTTGTTCTCTGTGGTGACCAATCTTGGCTGTCAACTTGACTGTATCTGCAATCAATGGAAACAAGCTTCTGGGGATTCTTGTGAAGGATTTTCATGATCAAATTCTTTGAAGCAGAAAAATTCATGCAAGATCGGGGCAGCCCCTTCTATTGTCAGCCTACATCAAAGGACGTGGAAGAAGGAAGCTTCGCTTTTGCCTGCTTGTCCTTTCACTGTCACGTGAGTGTGGAATGTGACATTTCCCAGGTAAACTGAAGACCCTCAGCTCTCGAGGAAGATTCTAGGCCTCCAGTGCCAGATGGGACTACTGAAACAACCAGCATACTAGACTAAACAATTGCTGGATACACGGCCTCTCCAGTATGAGAAAGACATTGTCAGAATACCCAGACTGCATCCTGTGAGCCCATATGTTAAATCTCAGGCTCTATTAGTTCTTGTCCTTTAGAGAACCCTGACTAAAACATTCTGCAACTTCCTCCTTTTTCTTACTTTCAAAATTGAACAAGATCCCCATCATTTGTAGGAAGTTGAGTTCCTATGTGCACACACAAATCCTTAGTTTAGAAATATAACTGGTAACATTCAGGAACATATTTTAATGGAGATCATCTACAAGGCTCTATACCTGTTGAGTTTTCTGACCTGTCTTGGCAAGGAATAGACATGGTGTGCCTCCCAATAAAAGAAACAATAGAAGCCCTGGTGCAACTGGGAATAGAGAACCTCTAAGACCAGGCATCTTTATGTAGGGCAAAGCTGAGCAAAGAAGCTGCAAAGATCTTCCATTATTGATTGACAAGATTTTCTTGTGGACATAGGTAGCCCCAGTGATAGCCTTCATCTTAACATTGGCCCCATGTACAAGCCCATTTTCTATAGTCTGCTGGCTCCATTCTCTTCTCACCTATGAGAGTGATATTGGAGTAAATTATCCAAGCCTTACAAATTAGAACAGGTCATATAAAAAAGTAATTTACTTACTTATTTGTGTATCTGTTAAACCACAAAAAGCACAAATACCACATACTGCTTCTGAGGCTTACTCTTTACTATCATCTGCTATACGGAGTCTTACTAGACATCATTTCTTTAATTATATACCCTATGAAATTTTAGTAGCATAGATATGTCATGTATTTATGAATGTAATGGTTGTTTATCTGTGCTTTAGGCATCAAGAGTTTAGTTTTATTTTGCCCAATGGAAATAGGTTTTAACCCCTTGGAAAGATGTAATCTCTGTCAAAAATGCATGGTCTTTTACGTGTTCAGGAAAGGTTGGGTACACCTGTGAGGGTGAGCTTGAATGTGTGTAGGTGTGGAGACAGGAGAACAACTGAAGGTGTAGTCCTCAGACCATACACATCCTCTGAGACAGGTCTCTCTTTGGCTTAGAGCTCACCAATTAGGCTAGGCAGTGAAGACAGCAAACCCCAGGGATGCTTATGTTTCTGTCTTCCTAGCCCTGGGATTACAAGTGTGCACCATCAAGCCCTGCATTTTTATATGTGTGATAGGAATCGGACTCTTATCCTGTTGCTTGTGAAGTAAGCACTCTATCGACTGAGCCATCCCTTTAGCCCAAGAATCCATGGTCTTAAAGCATGCACTAACTGAAATCACTTGATAGATATGCTTAATGCCTCTCTAGGATTCTGTGGAATATGAAGTACCCCAAACACCATCTTTCCTTTAGCTTAGTTATCTGTATTATAGTGGTCCAGTGTAGCGACGTATAATATCCTGAGACTAAACTCCAGTGTCATTGTCTGCAACCCTTTCCTGTCTTCTTGACTTCCACAAAATATAGAAACAGCAAACCTCACCCTCATGCTTGGGTCAGTCCACTTTCAACTGCCAGTAACACAGGATCACAAACTAAGTACAGTATACAGACCTGAAATTTATTTTAGCTTGTAGTTCTTGGGTATATGTGATAATGACAGGCTTACTTGCAGAGACCTGAGGCAGCTCAGAGTCACACAAGAATCAGAAAGCATGTATCTCTGGTCGTTATCCCTCTTCTTATAAAGCCACCCGAATGGCTTTTTCTAATCCTAAACACTTCGGAAAAGTGTTGCCTCTAAACACCACAGTAGATTAAATTGGGACCTACTTAAGACTTCACAGTGGGGATTAACTTTCGAAACACAAGCTTTGGGAGTCATGCAAACCACACCATATATGCAAACACAGTAACACCGTTCTTTGTCCTGTAGAAACTTAAGATGTGGGCTCACCTCTTGCCGTTTGAAATTCTGGACATATTCTTCAAACTGTTCGTCTTTTGTTTCGTCAGCTTTCCCCAGCTTCTGGAGGACCTAGTTTGTGAATGAAACAAAATGGTTTGATTTAGTGGTGTTTATAGTGCAGCACGGCATGCTTGCTCAGCAGAAACTCCTGCTTTTCTCCGCGGGGTCTAAGCAAAATCCACTCTCAGCACCACTCGCTTTTCTTTTCTGGAAGTATTGTGCTTGGTGGCTTTGGAGATGAATGGACCTGAATTTTAATCACAGATCTATTGCCCCACAGGCTGTGTGATTTGAGCAAGGGCCACGAAGCACTGCATTTGATTGTTTACACAGTAATTCCTCTAGGAGGCTGTGCATAACTTTAAGACTGAAGCTACGCCCTACTTGTCATTTTGTCCCCAGAAACTAGCAAAACGCATAATGCGTAACAGGTACCCAGCTACGTGGTAACCAGTGAAGCAAGGCTCTATGACTGAAGTGTACATTCTAGGCACAACATTCAACTCTCCTACCCATGTTCTGCTCTTCCGCTCAATTTAATAAACAATCAAACTGGCCATGGGTGTACACGTACTGTACAATCTCTTGTTAACCATTGGCTACCCAGAAATACAAGACAAATAAATCAGGGTGCAACATTTATTTATCCTAAAATCATCTGACCGTCCAGAAAACATAAGGAAGAGGTACAAAAAACAAATAGGAGGTGATGTATGACAAGCAATACAAAGATGTTATGGAGTGTTGTAATGATATCCTGTAGAGCTCAGGGCTTCAGAGGCCACTCTGTGGAGGTGGTTTTTAATCCGCTGCTAAGAATTCAATGGACAGGGATGTAGCAGAGTTCATTCCAGGCAATGAAGGGTTCTAAGCAAATTCACAGGAAGAAATATTATGTCTGGAGCACAGGACAAAATGCTAAGGGAAGCATTTCTTAAAGACAAACAGGGAGTTGTGTGAGGATGAAGCAGATAGAGCCTGAGCACTACAGCAGACATTGCTATTTGATGTTCAGTGTCCTTCTAGCTCAAATTCTAGACTCTGACTTGCTCAAGGGCGTGGAAACTCTATAAGCATTGCCTTCTAGAAATTCACCTTGTAACCTCCTGTGGCACTATCAAATGCCATTAAAAAAAACTCTACTGCAAAGCTCCACCTTCATCAAAAGGCACAGAATTAACGATTGTGGGGAGCTTAGCTCCACTTCACAGTCTTACTACTATTTTTGTTATTATTATTGTTTCAGAGTTAAAAAAAAAAAAAGCAACAGAGGCTACACTTGCACCAAAGGCAAACTTGAATAACCAAAGAAAGGTCTCATCTGTCCCTGTGTTTTCTTTCTAAAATACTGCTACTTTACTCATTTTTGCTTTTTATTTAAAAAAAAAAAGTTTTAGAGAAAACCCTTCTGAATTACTTTTGACTACCCAAACATACACACATATACAGACACATACAAGCCTAAAGATGATGAGGGAAGACAGCTGACATGGACCACACAGCATTCCTGTAGCTGTCAAAGTCCACAAACCCAGCTGTTTCCAGATACTGTCTATCAGAGGACTTGCTGAGACTCCTTTAACACCTTATGGTTAGCATAGATGGAACCATGTAAGCACAGGATGCTGCCAGTCTGTTTTGAGCAAGAGTTGCTGCCACACTCTCAGCTTTACAACTTGCTGGAGCAGTGAATAGGTGCTCTGTCCTGGGCATAAAAAAAAAAGAACACTACAAATATGCATTGCATGCCCACTGTGAGCCTGAAACCGCAGAGGATAATTTACCTTTATTCCCATCCCCACCAGAGTGCTGTGTGATACCTATTTTAACCATATAATACCTGAAAGACCAAGATCACAAAGCTAGGCAAGTGGCCTCTTGTAAAATTTTAGGAAAATCACCCTTCTGTAGTCCAGTGCCTCTGACACCACCAGTATGAGCTTTTCCTTCTCAAAGGAAGCAGGTAAGACCCACACCAAATCTAATATTCCTATTTTCATGGACAAAATATACTAAGGTCCCTGGGCTCTAAGAAACATGTGTCTTATGGCCTGCACAGCTCTAATGGTGGGAAGGACATGCATGGACTCCTCCTTGAAGCTCTTTACCGAAACTTCAAGTCATATGTTAAGAATGATACAATCTAAATGAGATGAGGACAAAAAAAAAACAACTATGAAACCGTTCCCACAAGTAAAAAGAGTATCCAGCTTGACAGTGTCACTGAGAATAACAGAGTATGCAGACCTCTGAGTCCCAGTGGCCATGTATCTTGGTGCTGGCTGCCTTTGGTAGCAGTACTCACATAGGAGACCTAGAAGAGGAGGAGGGACAGGGGAGCTAACCTTTCCCAGGAACATTTTTTCACGCCAGTGGCCGCACTGGGAACTTGGTGCATTCTCCTTCAATTGACCCTTAAAGAAGCTGACTCATCCCTGAGCTAGAGATGAACAAACTGAGACTTACGGGAAATGGATGCTTGCACAAGATCATTTCCTTTGTAAGTAGTGTATTCTATTCCTTATGGTGCTTTTCCCACAAAGATAGTCTCACCCCAGGGCTTTGACATTGTAAAACGGAGACTTAGAATACCAATCCTCAAGCATCTAGGCCAAACTTGTCTAGCTTTCAGATTTAATGTGCTCCCAAGAAGAGGTCTCCATGGCAGGCATTGAATGATTTGCCTTTCTTTCAATGTCTCTCAGTAGAGTCCCACAATGGGTCCCTAATTCATCATGAATCTAATATGAATTTCTTGTGATGGGTGACAATGCCCCAGAGATTATGGTCAGAAGAAAGTTTGCTCATTCTACCAGCTGCCATGTTGCAATGCCTCAGAAATCCTGATTTATCACAACACTGGGACCTGTTCAATCTACATGTGACCTTAGGACAGTCATTAAAATTACAATTTGGGTGAGAGCAGAAACAAATGTGCCATCTGCATTTTTTTCCTTTTATTGAAAATAGATTTTTTTTCTCATATAATATATCCTGATTACAGTTTCTCCTCCTATTCTTCCTAGCTCCTCTGCTCTGTACCTCCCATCCAGATCCATCCCATTTCTGTCTCTCACTAGAAAACAGGCTTCTAAGGGATATTGATAAAATAAAATAATAAAGTTAAATAACTAACACATTTGAATAGACACAGACACACAGAAAGAAAAGAGACCATGAAAAGGCACAAGAAATGGCTATATAAGCAGAGAACTCATTTGTACACGTAAGAATCTTATAAAAATATATTATATAGTTATATAGATATGTAATATTTATGTAATAAAAATAAAAATAAGAAAAGATAGTTTTTAAAAGCCCTGACACAACATTTGGGACAAGGAACCAAAAGATGCTGTGGCTGTCTACCCCTGGGCATTCAGCCTACCCTTGAGTAGTTTTTCCCCCAGTGAGACTCCCTTGAAGACAGCTAAATTTTTATTTGCAGGCAGTTACATCAATTGAAAATGGCTTCTGTATTAGGGATGTGGACATGTGCTGTCTGTAATTTAAGACTGAGCTGTATTTTTACATCACTAAAGTTTCTTTAATCGACACTTCATTCCTACGCTGACATTTTCTACCACATTCAACCTACAAAATTCTACTATCAGGTAATCATAAACCTTCCTCAGTCCTCCACGAAGCTGTCCCAGTTCAAGTGGGATTATCACCATTTACTTCTTCCCATTTACCATAGTAACAGAAGGGCAGTTATGGGCTTCTGGTTATTTCTGTAATACCTAACCATTTGATTGAGCTATCCTGTGTTTCGGGTTCTTTTCTAAAAACTTAAAATGGGTTCATTCATTTAATTCTTATGGCAAGTTTATGGCATATGCTACCAAGTTTTCAGGTGAGGAGAACTGAACGGTGTGAAGCCACAAGGCTCAACACTATAGGAGTAGATTCTTATGTAAAGGAGAGCTCTCGTCTTACTGATAATCTACTGTTGCTCTGAACGTGTGAGTCCATTGGATTTCACTTCCATGTTACATTTGGCTTATCTTCCAAAGGACGAGTTTCCTTAATATCCCATACTTCCCATATTCTCTGCAAATTTCACAGTGCTAGTGTCACTAAGAAAATCAAGAAAAAACACAGATATTAATAAGCGATTTTCATTATATAATTTGAGTTACTGTCTGTCCTGTTTGTTTCTGACAACATTGACACAAACCTAGACATATCTGGGAAGACAGAACTTTGATTGAGAAAATGTGTCCATAAGATTGGCCTCCAGCAACTGTTAGAAGTTTTCGTAATTAGTGATTCACGTGGATGGGCCCAGCTCATTGTGGATAATATTATCCTTGGGCTGTTGGCCCTGGGCTATATGAGAGCATTTGGGTAAAGACTTTAATTTCATCCACAATGACAAGTTACTGCTTGAAAATAACAGAATTTTAATTTTAATCTTTCTTTTTGTTTTTCAAAGACAAACCACAAATGCCAAATTCAACATGTACTTTCCTGCAGTGAGATTATGCATCATTCATCCATGGCTGCGCTCATTCTTCCAGGCTCACTAGATCCATTCCACTTCTAAAAAAATCAAATAAAAGTCAAATGGAGAGGCAAGAATATGTATGACAAGTCTGAGTGCTTCGTGGGAAGCCCTCTTTCTGTGTCCTCTCCAGCAGTGACCTCCTGAGACTGAGTTGCAATGGCACAGTTCTTTTCTTCTTTCTTAGGGAAATTACCCCTGCATAAAATGGCCAAGCAATTACCTGAGGATTTAGAACTCTGATTTTCATACTTTCTCCATTTACACTATGGACAAAATTCTAATCAAGTTTTATGTTCCCAAAGTGGAAGGCAAAATCACTACTGACTGCAGCTGTGACTGGGGAATAACAGTTCTGCTTAATATTTTAAATTAGAAATGAAGCAGTAAGTTGGCAGCCTTAAAAAAACAAACAAACAAACAAAAAACTTGGCATTTGAAGAAAGAAGTAAAAAAAAAAAATTGCAATCGCAATGTTCCTTTTACCATGGAAATGGCTTCTGTTAATTAAAGGAAAAGGTCGAGGCGAGGTTCAGCTATGGTGATGTCTGACCCCAAGTGG